AAATGTCCTATCGCTTCCTGACCGGAGCGTAAGCACCAATTCTGTTTTTATGACAAGTACTGCTGCAGAAAGCAGGGCCCAGCAGGGACTCCGGCAGGTCTCCCTGCTGAGCGGTGTGTGTGATAATTCCGTGCCGGAGCTCGGAGCCGCTTTGTTTAGGAAACTTTGCTTTGGTGTGCGGCAGGTTTCCAGTCCTGCTGCTGGAGCTCGCGGGTCGGATTCCCTGCTGGCAGCAGGAGCCCTTTCTGCTTCCATAACTGACTGTTCCAGCTAGATGTGGGGGAAGAAATGAGCCTTGAAATATAAGCATGGCTAAATAGGGTTATAAATGTTAAAACCAAGAAGATGCCTGCTTCCAAGAGAGGGCTGCAGGCTGCGCTTCAGAGCGCGGGGGAGGATGGATGGAGGTTGTGACCCGCTGCAGCACCAGTGGCAGGAGCGCACCGTGATCGCAGGCTGAGCCCTGCTGAGGCGTCGTCCTCTCCCCTCTTTGATGGGCTGCACTGGCTGCTCCCCTCCCTTTAAATCCTCTCCCCCTCATCCTTCTCCTTCCAGATGTGTGAGATAGCTGAAATGACCAAAAGCAGCTTTAGTAGCAGCCTGTTTACGACATGGAAGAGAAAGCTGTTTTTTAAGTGTGTAGTCTAGTAGTAAAAGCCGTGCCTTCTCGGGATCTGCCACAGCCAGTATTTTCTACCTTTTTAATTAGACTTGGCCATTGGATTGCTGTTATTTGTTATGGTGTTTAGCTAGATAAAAAGAAATAAATAAATAAGGAAAATAAGAAAATAAAAATCCATGCAGTGGGGGACCTGCATGGGTATTAAATTTGGACTGACTAGAAATCGACTTTTACACAGACTTTTACCAGGGTGCTATGGAGGCAAGACAGGACTAGTGGAAGCAGTTAAAGGTTTGATGCTGCAGGTTCCCACGCATGCAGAGCCTCTATCCTGAGGCCGAGGGATCCAATAATTGCACTTTGGCCCTTGTATCTCTTTTAACGGTGAAGCATTAACTTGGCCTTGCAGAGGCAGATCGACTCTGCTTCAGTCAGGTGATGCTGCACTGCTGGGTGTGATAACAGTAATCTAACTAATAATTGTTATCAACCAATATTAATAAGCAAGATTTTAACCTGTATAACTGTAATCTACACAATATCTAAGCACACTTACTCCCATACAGGAGATCACCGTTTTGTTTTTTCTTTAAATAACTGATAATTAATTTAAATAATTTTCTAAATTGCACTGTTAAAGCTGTTTGAGGTCTTGACCAGCTTCAACCAACCAATAATTAAATTCACTGAATATAAATATTGTAAATGAGTCCAGGCTCATCTGGCCAAACTAAACACCTTGTTTAGGATTGGGCAACCCTCTCATTTTGCTGTAGAATGACAAACATCTCCATTGGGCCATGGAGCTCTTGGGTCAGTTGTGTTGCCACTGTCTCTGCTTTGGTGTTGAGGGTCCCAACAGAAGGTCAAGGGGTTGGGATCAGAAGTTTCTGATATTTCTCAGTATGGTACCACAACATAGCGGCTGGACTGGGACCTATGAGTAGCAGAGCTTTAGGATATGACCAATCTCTTTCCTAGACTGGAAGACCATGATGATCTCATGCCAATCTTGGCACATCACAGCAAAACTCTGAAAGAAATCTATGGTGACTATTTCCTTGTTGACCTCTTAGAAACTCAAGATGAGGAAAATCAGGCTGTTGTTGGTGAGGTAAGTGCATCATGTACAGTGTTGTCTGCTCTCAATGTTACTCATGTTGTGTGTGAATGGCAGCCCACAGCACAGCTCCCTTTTGAAAGGTGCAATCCACGATTTGGATGCGACAAGGCCCTCCATCATTTTCTTTGTGACTTTCTGTTCTTCAGGAGTGAGGTCTTCTGTTAAATAAATGAAGCTGCAATTCTCAATAATTGGGTAGAGGTTTTTTTTCCAAATAATAGGAACAAGCCATCTTGAAATGACTCTGGAGCCATTTAAGACATTTTGCATTATAGATGACCAATTTTCATTCCCTGCAATATAAATATTGCATGTGAAGACTAGTAGCCAATAATATTTGCACAGTTTAAAACGCCCCAGATTTTTTTTTCCAGCTCCTGGCTCAGGAAACCAGGTTTTTGCTGAATTGAAAACAGAAACCCGAGAATTAATTTAAATAAGAAAGAAAGGTGTCAATGGTTTCCCTACTGAAAATACCTGTTAATATTTTTATGTGCTCATAATTGTGTGCAGTGTTATAAGTTGATGGGCAAAGCTACTTAATTCTGCAATTCTGCTTTCTGTTGCAAATGATTTTAGCAAACCTTAGCTTGTAATCACTACTATTGGAAGCCAAATGGGAAACCATCAAGCATTAGCGTAATAGCACAGCACAAATGGCAAATCTTGTAAATAATACATCTCTATTATACATTTATAGCTCCATATGAAACAAGCAAAAGGTGTTTCAGACCCTCATAGTTCAGACTTGCCGCTGCTGCTGCCGACTGGAAAGACGCCTCCACGTGAACCAAGATAGATGCCAATTTTCCCTGCAGAGAATGAGGCTGGCAACCTCTTTTTGCACATATGGTAGATGGATTGGTTAATCAGCCTCTGCTGAGCCTCGGGCCTAAAATTACATAGCAGCCAGACAACTGCAGCGACCCGGCTTTTGTTCAGTTACGCAAACAAACCATCACTTGTTGTTTGGGGAAAAAAATAAACTCTCTCTATATATTATTTTTATTGAAGCGCTGATGGCCTGATAAAACAGCTCTGCAAATCCAGCCTTTGGGTTTTCATTATGTTTATAAAGGGTGTTTTCATTATATGTATTAACGGAAAAAATTGACATTATTTTGTGTTTTATCAGAAAGTTGCATAAAGTACTAAAAATTTTTCTGGGCTGGCTTTAGGGGAAAAAACCCACAACATGATGGTTCTGGTTTGTCAGAGCCTGTTTTTGAGCAGGGTAACTTTCTGCAAAGTTTTAGTGACAGTCAAGCACAGTCGCGTGCCATTTCAGCAGTGTGGGGCTGTTACTGTTTTCATACTTCAAAGGATTTTTTTAAAGACTGGTTCTTTCAGATGCGGATATTTCTGGATACTTTCAGAACTTGAGAATATTTTTATTACTTATAACTACAGTATATAACACATACTTTGTACTATATTAGGTACCATTTTTAAATCATTTTATATTTTTTTGCATTATTCATTCTCATTTTCTTTGGAAAATTCTCATAACTTACCAATTTTGTGTTCAGCTAAAGTGAGCTGCTCAACACTTGCACATAAAAATGTGATCTTGTTTTTATGTTTCAGGATGGTGGCATTGCAGTGGGATTCATGAGTTTATGCTCCACAGTAAATATTTCCTTGCTTCATGAGTGCTTTGATTTAGGACCCTTCCACGGGCTCTGTAAACCACATCCTGATGATATTCTGAAGATGCCACTGGAACCAAACTTTCAAGAAGGTATCTGTATTCTAAAATGCTGTATAGGTTTAAGGTACATTTATTTGGTTGCAATGAGGCATTAGTTTTTTAATGGGAAGAAAACACAAATGAATGCAACTGTTCTGGAGGTGGTAGCCTGTTATTTTTTTTTTTTTAATGCAAGAGCGAAATGTTGATAGCTGTGAGCTTTGACTGCGAAGCAGTTGCTGTTCCTGGGGAACTGGTGTATACAGGTTTGTCTGATTATAGGCTGTCCTTGGAACAGGTGTATGGGATGAATATAGGTTTCAATTCTTGGAAAGCTAGAGCATTAGGTGTATTTCCCACTAGCTAGTACTATTGTGCTCTTAATTGAAGGTGTAATTTGGAATTTGTAATTTTGTTCTAACGTCTGTCAGTAGTTAAGCAGCTGAATAACTGTGGCTATTATGTTGTCCTCTTGACCCATGTCCTCTGGGCTTCCATGTGGTCCATTGTCCGCCTGCTACTTCAAGGCTACAAGACTTGGGAGAATCGGGAATGATCTTTGTTTTATTCTTCTTTATGGCATGATACGACCAGCCATCTACAGGCCACCTTACTGCAAATAACATATGTCACCTGTCTGTACAACAGAAGTCTAGTCTGTGATTTCTGTTATCATCCTCATTTTTCACTGTTGAAGAGGGTTGTTTTTGTCCAGAAGAACAATATTTTGCTACCTATTAATTAGCAGCAGTAGAATTAAAAGAAACACTGTTAGGTTTTTACATATCGACTTGTCTGAACACAAAGCATCAGGCAAAACAAGGCCACTGGACAGCCTCAGAGCAGCCGCCAGCTGCTGTCTGAGAGCTGGCAACCATGAAGCACAAAAGGGAAAGAAAGAAATCCCTTCTAGGTATTCCTGAGAGCTTCTACCCCCCTCCAAGGGAAAATCTTGCTAATAACAGATTAAGGAATCCTGCTCTCTTACCCTATGCCATCCCATGCTCCTGGAGATTCAGAATAGGTGGCAGACATCTGTTAGGAAAGTAAATAGGACAGAGAAGAACAATTGTTAAGATAAACTCTTACCTTCAGCAAACGACTCTGTCCTTATTTTCTGGCATTCTGGACTAGCCTCCCTTGTACCGTTTAACAATGATTGAAAACATCCTACCTACACTAGAAAGTTTTGGAAATTTGGTTTAGTATTGGAACTTAATACAGAAAATGTGCTGAAAAGTATTAAATCTTTTTTAGTTTTAAAACTGAAAATGTTATCACTTAGTGTTTGGAATATCTAGTTAGTGCGAGAAGTGGAAGTGTGCATTTCTGATTATGATTCTTGTTTTACTGCTGCAGATCAGATCTGATCAGCAGGAAGTCTGGATGTGTATATGGACCTCATCTGTATTAGGATCTAGTAAGACCCACAGTCACTTATATTTTTTCTGTCCTTGTCCAAGGACCTCAAGATGTAGGCCTGTATTTTGTGACAAATTCTGTGTTGCACAACCTTTTAAGGAGTGTATTTTAATGAGTATATGGTTAGAGATTTTAACCATACATTTCTTAGGTCTTAATTCAGCAGGTCAAGGCAGGATCACCTCCCTCAACCTGGTGGAGATGTCCAGACAGTGGGTTTACACATTTTGAACAATTACAACATTTTAGATTGTTGTTTGTCCACATTTGATGTCTTGAAACGTTACCTCTGCCCAAGATAGACAGGAAGAAAACAAGAAAACTAAAGGCTGTGGTACTCAAATTATAAAGAAAGGCAAAAGAAAGAGGAAAAATCAAATATATGTTGTTATTACTTTCATTTCTAATACTGCTTGAATAAGGTAGATACTTTGTCACAGGTGATAGAAGTTTGTTATAGTTTGTTGAAAGCGCTTTATGTGATAGCTCTTTGTATAAAAAGCTTTTCATTCTACTGGTAGGCATCTGAGTTAAGAAAAAAAGCCCATTTTTTTGAGCAGTTGAATAAAAACCCTGTTTCCTTCTGCATGATTCAATTTTATTTTTTGCAGTTGACGTGACTTAAAGGTCATTTAACCAGTCATTCATAAAAAACTTCCAAGAGAAGAGTGATGTTTCATTTTCTGTTAAGAAAGGAAAAGAAAAAAAAGCCCATCATTTTAATAGAGATTTTCTGGAGCGGGGGGGAAGGAAAGAAAAAAGGAAAAAAAAAAAAAGTGTAGGTTCCTTCCTTTCTGACATTTTAATTTTCTTAAAAACATAGTTTGAAGAGGAAATGAGGTCTTGGTTTCGTTAGTCTTAGATCCCATATGTAAATGTTGCCTCTTATTTAGTCCGTTTGTAAGTCCTTATGATAGTCAGAGTTTAATTGTGCTCATACTGCATAACATATACATGGTTATAGGGACGTTCTCCTCCTGACTGCCTCATTTCAGCAGCGTTGCTGTATTGGAAATTCACTTCCTAATTATCCCAATTGTCATGTAAAGTCGGTGACGCTTCCTAGACACCTCACGTCAGCAAAGGATACGGACCTTCTTTTCATGAATGTGGGGAATGAGATTGTAAAATGTAAAGCCGCATTCCTCTGTGGAAGAATTTTATGTTCCTGTATAAATAACCCTAGTACTGAGAATTTTTTAAGCTCTTTAGCTGGCTGTAACCCTTGTAATAGAGACCACAGGTTGATACTATTTTTCCTTTCAAAATGTAATACTGAATAATAATGAAAGTGTACACAAAAATCTGTGTTTAGCACAATATTGATATGCCACTTACATTTCATGGAAATTACAGTAATTTGGCTGTTACTCTATATGGTGTCATGAATTAGCAGCTAGAAAACACTGTGATGCAGTGAGAATGATTCAAGGGCTTTTCATCAGGCTTCACGTTGAACTGGCTTTTTGATCCTGCTGACTGCTGCCTCTGCTAACAACCCAGCAATCAGAGTTATTTTAATTTGCTCCTTTTTTTTTTCTTCTCCATGTTCCTTATTAATTTAGGGCAATAATATTTATGTTCTTCCCAATCGCATGTGTGTAGCGTATATGTAAACAGTAATGCAGCTCTATTTGACAGTAGTGGATGCTGGAGCTATTAAGGGGCTTCATTTCAGTCTAAAGTCAGAAACAATATATCAATATTTACATGACAGCAAGGGGCTTGTATTAATTAACTTCTGACACCTGCAAGGCTGTTTATAATGAGAAATGTTGCTGGGTTAATCAAGACAACATATGATCATTTCTGTGAAGTCTCACATCTGTGATACCCCTAGAGAAGCTGTGATTTCTAACCCCTGAGTTTTTTCTTGCCCTGCACATTGCAGCTGCCTCCTTTCATACTAGCAGATTTTCAGATAAAAGATTTTCTTGAGAAATACTTTGGGCTGGAATATTTTAAACTTTTGAGCTTTTTAACTTTTTTTTTTTTCAAATTCTTACGTTGCTGGAGATGCTCAATGAATTCTCTGCAGCAGTGATCTCAAGAGTTTATTGATTAAAACTTATTTTCACAGACTTTATGTATAAAAACAATGAAAAATATATGTTAAATTAGGAAAGTCATAATTTAAAGAATGGCAGAACTATTGAGGATGCATTCAGGTAAAAATACAGCAGCTGACACTTTGTTGGTAGTTTTCATGGTCATTTGGTGTAACATATAGGATTTGCTAGTATTTAAAGCTTTCTTGTCTAGGCTGATTTTCAAACTATTGGTCCCTAACATTAACTTTAAATGTGACCTTTACGGTGGGTTATTAGGCAACCTGTAGTTCTGAATATCCTTCCCTTTCACTGTCTTTAACGGAAATATCCATCACTGAAAATAATGAAGCTAATTTATCTCTGCTCTAGATTCGGCCCTAGCCAGGCAGCCTAGCAGTGGCAAAAAGTACATTTACATGAGTGTGTCATGGGACTCCCTAAATACACCTAAATACAGGTGTTTTCCTTTAAATGGCTTAAGTATTTAACCAGAAATGTGGTGTAAATACCTGTATATTGTATCTCATACATATATATCATGGCTGTTTATCACATCAGTCAATGACTAACTATAAAATGATGGATCCAATGGCTGCAAATAATTTCATCCTCTCACCTTAGTCATCTGTTTTGGCCACAATAATGTCATTACTGAGGTTAGGCTGAACACGGCTATGATGTTACTGAGGATGGAAGGATGATCTGTTCCGCAGATTTAAAACCTGGCCTACCTTAAGGTGATGATTCCAGCCAAATTAATGTTTAGGACGGTTTGCTTCACACCTTGGAGTTTCCATAAAATCTCTCAGGTCTAAACAGAGTATCCGAACATCATGAAAGCAGAAGCTGAGGATTTATTTAGACAAGATAAAGAAGGAAGTAAATTGAGAATGATTGATCAAGCAGTCTTTTATAAGAAATGAAGCAGGGATTAGAGAGGTTAGCCTAGCAGTTGAGAGAGGAATTTCAATCCCTGTTTCTCATCTCTATTTTCTCCTGAGAGTTTGGGTTCTGGCTTAGCCAAATTTCAGTCCTGACAGGAGATTTACTTTTGAATCAAGAGCACCATTCATCCTTGTGGCCATCAGAAAACAAATTAGAAGCAGATATTGGAACTACAATATGTGTTAATACACTAATTACTGATTATTTTTATCCTGATAGGGTCAAAACTTGTTATGTATAATATGCTAGTTAGGAATTGCTTCCAAATTATGTCCTGTTTAATTTTTATTTTAAAACTACTTCTCCGATTTTTGTCTTAAGGTCAAATAGATGAAATTCGAGCTAAGTAAACATCTCTTTTAACTGTGGTTGTAAAAATGCTCTCAATAGAGGCTGTCTAGCACAAGTTTTATGATTCTGATGGCTAAGTTCACACTTCTAAGCATGTCCCATGCATTTATTCTTTTTTACTACTCAGGTGAAGATGAAAGCAAGCAAGAAAGTCAAGAAGCAGATTCCGCTTCTTCTCAAAACTTTGAATGTATTAGTGATGAAGATGCAGCTATTCAGGTAATACTCCCACATGCAGCAATGCTGATCTGCTCCTAAAACTAAATTGCAGCTGAGCTGGAGGTTGCCAGGACAAGCAGTGCTCTTGTTTCCCCTCCTGCACTGTCCCCTGCATGTGCCCACAGTTGTAGGTGCTGTTGATCAAAGAACTGGATCAGAAACTGCCCCAGAACACAGAACATGTTGGAAATGCAGCTTCCAGTGGGCTCTACTCTGAGCAGCTAGAGAAAGTGTTCCTCAGGAACAGGCTAGAGAGGAGTCTCTACTTTGAACGGAATTTTGTCTTACTGCGTTACGGATCACCACATCTGTTATCAACAGCAAGCTACCAAAGCTGTTTAAGGCAGCATGTTCCTTCTGCACTGCTTCTACTGTTTCCAAGAATTAAATATATAGCATAGGGACGGGTGTTATGGATCCACGTGGGGAAACCACATGGTGAGGGAATGGAGTAAAGGTTTCCAGGTTCCAGAGCAAGGGACACAAGCGCCATCCCTCACTGGGATCCTGCCCAAGGAATGTGTTACAAAGAACTCAAGGCCTTATGCTTAAGTACTTCTAGATGGTTTTGCTGTCATCTTCAGAAGAAGAAGTTGATTTTAAGCACCTTTTTTAACAATTGTAAGGTTGTTAAGCTTTTACTGTTTTACACAGATGGAACATTCAAAAACAGTATGAATCCAATCTCTAGAGGAAAAAAAATGGAGCCCTTCAGATGTGCGCATTGCAGTATTGCATGGAGAACGTCCCCTAGCTTTAAAATGTCTTTATCACTTTGTAAAAATATTGTCTAGACGGCCTCCAGCGAAGTAGATGTTATCACAGTCTAGACGTAGTTTGACAAATGTATGTGGTGAACCAGCTAGATGTTGCTCTTGAGAGAAGGGAGGCAGAGAATGGGCCAGGGCATAGGAGGAACACGGCTTCAGGCACCGTTTCCTTGCAGTCTACAAAAGGAAACGAGGCAACTGTTCCCATATTTGAAGTGTTCCTTAAAGTCCCAAACCATATTCTTAAGTCAGAAAATCCTTTTTCCAAGCAAAAAAGTAAATTTTGCAACATCATGCTCTAAACCTCAATAGAAGTTGAAAACCTTGCAAAAGGATAGCCTAGTTGCTGAATAAATAAATAAATAAATAAAGTTAACTTAGAATATTTAAAGCAATCCTATGCAACAGGGCTGTGTTTAGAAACTGAATGCTGAAAGTGAATAACTGCATTCCTCTGCAAACTGAAAGTTAACTCTTAAATAATTCACTTCAAATCACATGAAGAAGACCCCTTCTCTGGTTCCTGGTAGTCAGAAACTTTGGCAGAGGGGCTGTCTTGCATTTTGCCACAGCCAGATAAGGGTAGAATCTGTAATTTTCTCTCCTCCTCCTTTTAAAACAGCTGTATGATTTCCCACCATATCCCATTTACTTTGGCTTTTGTATAAGGGAGTGTTACTTTCATTCGCACTGGATCTGAAAGAAAATGTGAACTACCAACTGCTTTGGTACTGACTGTGAAATTTATTTTCATGCTTTAAAATGAAAGACACTATAAATTAAAATATTGTGATTCAGCATTTTTGTGTAGAAGAATCAGTTCTAAGTCAATACATTACTTGCTCGCTTTGCCCGTTTCTTTTTAAATGAGGCATATAATGTTTTGGATGAAGTTACTATTTCAGAGCTAAGCCGTGGAAGTTGTCCTAGTAAATCCCATAGACGGTGCTGTCAAAACAGGGCTTTTATTTTCTCCTGTATTTGTGTAACATCTGATGTGACTAGGGCTCATGCAGCATTGTAAATCGTTAGCACCAAATCAGACATCGTTTTTGTAGGTATGAAAGGAGGATTTTTTTCCAAGCTCCTCTTCTGAAGCAGCAGACTTTATAAGTAAAAATATTAGTAGATAGGAGAGTAAATCTTCTGGTAGTGCTATGATCTGTGTATTCATAAAAGGTTAATTTATGTAATGACAAAACCATTCACTTAATTTATTTTGGATGCTTCATGAATCAGTGGAGAAAGTATCCCAAGAACCCTTAAATGGTTCTATCTGCCTTGTAGTCTCTCTTTCAGGGCTGTGACAAACTGCTCTGTCTTTCTTCCCATAACTGTGCAATTGCATTTCCACAATATGCTCTGAATTGGTTCCATTCTCCTTAATGTAACATGCTTCAGTTTTCACATAGTTTCAATATACATCTGGAAAGAAAATGTTTATATTGCAAAGCATTTCTGGAAGATATGTATTTTACTGCCTCACAAAGCAATTCTAGTGAAAACTCTGAGCTCGTGGTTATATTGCTCTCCCGCAAGAATTGCTGTATTCTTTTAGGGCCATTTTAAACATACTGTTTCACAAGCAGGTAGATTTTACATTAAAAATTCCTCCTTAACCTTTGGTAGTTGTAAAGATGTGACAAAGGCAAAGTGTATCCCTGTGTGTCTGCTAGGAGATGGGAGTGATGCAAAACCTTTTCATGAAAGAATGAAAACATCTCTGAACCGTTGCTGGTGATCATTTGTCTCTTATTGTTACAGAAGGATGGAGGGAATGCTGTTTCCCATACTGAACTGCCATCAGATGATGTCAGTGGCAAAGATTTTAAATTTGCAGCAACACCTGTCTCTGAGACTGAAGAAGACGATGCTTTTCGACCCGTGTACAGAGGCACTTTCAATGCTTTCTGTATTCGTCTGTTTTGTATGGACAAGCAACATGAAAGTAGGCAAGTATGGATGGGCATATAGGCTTCTTGGTGCATATTTACCTGGTAATCTAGTTTAAATTCATTAGGAAGAGAAGAAAATACTATTTCATTAAAGAGTGCTATGAGTCTCTGATCTATTAAAAAGCATTCATCAATGTATGTGGTACTCTCAACAGAGAGTAACTGTTCCAGAACAGTTAATAAATGGACAAGATACTCTAAAATAAAATGATATTTTTGTGAGATGAGGACTCACCCATTATACTGCAGCAGTAATGGAGAACTGTGATTCTGCTTTTCCCATGCTGGGAAATAACCTCTCTGTAGAAGAATCAGGTTTTCTACTCGTAGCATGCTGTTAGGATAAGGATCTTTCATTTCTTTTTCCACTTCTGGCATTCTGTCCTTCCTATGCACCGTGGTTGCTTCTGCTCAAAGTATGTCCACTGTGTTTATCACTGAACACTGCAGATTGTTGTCTCTTTTCTTCCCCACCCCGGAGACATCTCTGGAACAGTTTGGATTCTAAGATGGATATCTAGGGGGAAGATAGGATTTCTTTCTGTAGACTTTTGCCAAGATTAACATTTATTAACATCCATGCGTGGTAGCTGCAGGGACTTTAAAATGTGTGTTTTTGTTTAGATACTTCCCTAATTTGCATTAGCTTGATCCTCCTGTTTGCAGAGAAGCAGAGAGGCAGAATAGCAAATGTATCAGAGGGGAGGGCATGAGGCAATTCTGCTGGGGATCAGTATCTGAGGATTTTGTCCTAGAGGAACTACTGCTGACCCAACGCAATGGGGATCCAGAAATAGCCATTTGCTTGATATGTTGGCATGATTGCATCTTAGCCCTCAGGGAGAGTTTACTGCTGAGGAATTTGTGTTATCCAGTAAAGTGGCCAAATGTTTCCATCTCTTTAAATCTGTAATTGTCATGCGGCTTGTTAGTGCACTGCAAGTGAAATACAAAGGACCTGAACTCCTAGTCTGCCCTCTGTATCTGGTACCCTTGTAAGTCCACTGAAGAATCTTCCTTCGTTCCTGAATTCCGTGTTGCCAAGAAGGTACTAGATGCCGGAGAACAGAAAATTACGTTGCAATAGCTTTTTCTTCTCCCCATTCAGCTATGCTATCAACTGATCATAAATATGTTTTACATAGGGAACTATGCAATACCACAATCCAAATCTGTATTTATAACTTTTTGTTTAGTTAGTAATCTTATTATTGGTGAAGGGAAAAAAGTAACTTGATTATTTTAATTATGTATCTGGAGAAAGGAGGTATCTGTCAGTGTTTTTAGGTAATGTGTATCTGTACTGAATATTCTATTGTGGGAAAATACTTTGTAAAGTTTCCACATAACAGGATTTGGTGGGTTTAGAGCGCTGTGTTATCCTTGAACATGGGAGAAACAGGATGAAATAGCTAGATTTGTCTTTTTAAACTCAAATATCACATTTCTCTGTCAGCGTGGAAAAGAGAGTGAAATTATTCTAAACCAGTAGGTGTGAAGTGAAAAAGAGGGAAGTGTTCAAAAACAATTTGAAAGTATTGATGTTCCTGTTCTCCTGATGTCCATTGGGTAGATTTACCAAACGGATAGTGACAGAACCCTTGGTACGTGATGGAAATAACAACTGTTTGTATCATCAATAAATGTTTACTATATACACTAACAGTGTTCTGGAAGTCTATGAAACTCTTCTGAAAAATGCTTCTGAGTGAGCAACATCTGTCTGAAATTTTCAGTTTTTCTTTTAGGTGAAGAGTGATTAATTATGAACTGGTAAAAATTTCTGATTAGCACTGTGAGTAAGTGTTCCCTGCATATACGGAGAAGTAATTCTTTTGAAATATATAGTGTCTGTTTGATATGCACTTTATTTATGTAACAATGTTTGCTTTTGGTTGCAGATCACTGGATTTATTGCATTATGCTTTCCAGCTTTTTCCAGTACGTATAAGCAAAGTATTAAGGTGAAAAATGTATGTTAAGATATTATAAGTGATATTATTTTTCCACTTGTACATGCCTACTCACATTTCTCTCTCCTCTGGAAAAATGCATTTAGGTTCTACAAGGAGAGCTTGATTAGGTTGCATTTCTTAATGTGGGACAGTAGCACAGCAGCACATTAATTGCAATTAGCTTATTATTTTTTGCTATGTACTGTGATACTCACAGGTTTATTCTGATAGTCTTGGTAATCAGTGCTTTCTTAATGTGGGACAGTAGCACAGCAAGCACATGAATTGCAATTAGCTCATTATTTTTTGCTATGTGCTGTGATACTCACAGGTTTGTTCTGATAGTCTTGGTAATCAGTGTGCCATTCTGAGGCCTATCTGGAAGGCTTCATTAGCCAAAATGGAAGCTTGTTTGAAGAGCTGTTCAAGGAGTTCTCAACATAATGCTTAATTTAAACAGTAAAGTCATGCAGACTTTTTCTGGGTTTTTTTTTGCACATACCTGAATCTCAAGCTCTTGCTTTGATTTATCTGGTATTGATACTGCCTTTGAAATTAATTTGCATGAGTGCATGGTGCTTGCAAAAATGGCTTTTGGACATCGTGTTCCTAAGTTCTTTGCATGCATCCCAAAGGAACTCTTCTGAGAAGCAGATCTGGAGAACAAACTCCTCTAAATTCATGTATAGACTTAGACTTTGTCTAAATTAAAAATAAAGTCAGGGAAAAGACATGAAAAGAGAAGGAATTAAAGTAGTATTAAGAAAATTCGTATTACTTGCCTATATCCTAAATAGTTGGACTTACGTACAGGGCAAAGCTAATGTGCATCTAAGGAGGCTGTGAGTTTACTGTGAAGTAATTATTTCACCCTAACTCCCTGCGTAATCAATCTTTAGCTAAAGTAACAAGCTCCACTTGATAGGCAATTTTAATATACACTGCAGTGTGTTTTAAATTCATACTTTAAATTCCTGCATAGTAGCCATTTCTTAGAGACAGGACCCTGATGATCAGAGATATGGAGTTGCTCCTAAATATCATCATCATTTAAAAGTGCTCACTGTCAGAAATTTTCCAAAGTGGAGACTGGAGTAATATCAGCACTTAGTTAACTTGTTACCTTAAGGCATGTAAAGGCATGTTAACCTATGTTCCTAAAGAAACTGAGTACAGAAAACAGGCCTTCTAAGTCTTTCACTTCCTTCCCCGCTCTCCAGCAGGTCAGTCCCAGCCTGTCCTGGGGCTTGGCGTTATTCCTGCCTAGATGTACAACTCTGCCCTTGCCTTTCTTGAACTTTGTGAGGTTCCTCTCTGCCCACCTCTCCAGGTCTCTCCTCCCAGGATGTACCCTGTCCCTTCATCCAGGTCAGGGATGAAGAAGAGGAACAAGACTGGGGCAGTGTTGACCGCTGGGACACCCTGCTAGCTCCAGGCCTCCAACTAGGCTTTGCACCGCTGATCACACCCCTCTGAGCTCTGCCCTTCACCCAGTTCTCAATCCACCTCACTGTGCTCTTGTCTAGCCCACACTTCCTCAGCTTGCTTCCACTGTCATACCAGGTTCTTATGCACATGGACCCTGTAGCACATTGACATTAGCAATGCCAAGTTTAGCATGAGCTGGACTTTGTTGTACCTTTGTAAACCCAAATTGATCAGGTCTGCTGTGAGCATGAGGTAACATCAATCCATGTGTGCACACAGGCTATTTGTCTAGGATTTCAGGACATCCTGCTCTAGTTGATGTTCTAAATGTGCAGAAAATCCCAGGCAGATGTTCATTGTCCTAAAATTTCACTGCAGAAAATTGTAGGGTAGAAAGAAAGGACATATCAAGGAAAATACTGCTTCCAGATATCTTGCTGTCTAGGTAGTCCTTCCAGTCAGAAGGTTTTGTGTAGAGCTGATGTTGAGATCACTGAGTGCCTGTATTCTCTCCATATGGTTTCAGGACAAAGACTTCTGCATCATCGTTGTGCCCCATCTCACACCTGAGTTCCATCTGATCAAGAGTTTCGTTCGAGTTGTCCCGTTCTGTACTTCCACGTTCAATCATGAGCTTTACCTGTTCCACCGTGCTGGATTGCTCAAGTGAGTCATGTGCCTTGTGGCAACAAATACTCTCTAAAGTGCTTTCATGGAATGTGTTTGCTCCATACAACCTAGCACCCGATGAGTGCTCCTTCTTCGCATTAGAACAAGCTGCTGTGTCTATGTGGCACAACACAACATCTTCTCAAAATGATAACTTGAGTCCCAAAAGCAGTGCAGGACTGCAGTAAGGAGGAACAGGGCTTCTGTGTTTCCTCCCCAAACCTCAACCTGTGGCTTTGATTTGCATTCATCTGCAGAGTGCTTGTGGATTTTGGAAAGGATGTTGTGAGAATCTTGCAATATGATGGAGTTCCCTAAATTAATCCCAAGTTTTCCATCTCCCTCTCTTTAATTCTTTATGGTACTGTGGTCTGCTGTTTGTGTTTATGCTAGCCACAGGAAAAAGGGCCTGTGTCTATAGCCCCTAACTGCCTGGTGGGTAGGCAGCAATGAGAAGCTCATCCTCTGTAAGGAGGGCTGACAGCGACTTTGGCACTTGGTGGGTCCTTGCTTGGTTTCTGCTCCTGCCTTGCGTTTTCTTTTCAGCAAAGATGGTGGTGGTATTTAATTTTTTTTTCTTTTTTCCCCCATTTTCATCAGGTTGTGAAAGAGTCTAATTTTTGCATGTTTGTTTTGTGGACTTTATTTATTTTGCTAGGGGAGTTTGATGGGGTTTTCTTTGGGGATTTTTTTCTCAGCTTTCTTTTCTTTTCCCTCTACAGTTATTTATGATTTTGGTTTATTTAATTAATTTACAGCTTGGGGGGATGTTTAATTAGAGAGGGATCATTTTATTTAGTTTTGTATTTCTGATGCTTTTGAGGGAGGGAGATTTTTGGCAAGTTTTTCCCTATATTTCCCTATCTTCCCAGCAGTTTTTCATGGGGTTCATTTGTCTATGTGTTTGTTAATTTATTTATTAGGATATGGGTTGCTATTTCAGCAAGGGAAATTTTGTGAGTTTTTGAAAGGGTTTTTTTTTTTTTTTTCCAGCAGACTTTTTAGCTCATAGTTATTTGTGACTGGCCTTATCCAGTCAGGTCTTGAAAAGCTCCAAGGATATTTTCAAGCAGCTTGGTCTGAATTCAGTGTTAGTCTTGCTTTGGGCAGGACTGACCTTCCAAGTTCCTTCCAACCTAAATTAAGGAAAATGCTGTATATTAAAAACCATATATATAAAAAAAACCACCACAGTGGAGGTGTTATAGCAGGAGCTCTAAATCCAACCCCTTTCCCCTTCCCTTATGTTGTCAGCGGAGAGATAAAAATAATTTTAGAGGGAAATTCAGGAAGTCTCAGTTAATCTCTGGTTATTGATCTTCTCTGTAGTAGTCTGCCTCGCTTCATTAACTGTTTTGGGAGACTAGGGGGTTATATGATTCAAGTTCTTTTAGAGGGAAATTCAGGAAGTCTCAGTTAATCTCTGGTTCTGGATCTTCTCTGATCTCTCTTCATTAACTGTTTTGGCAAACTAGGGGGTTAGATGATTCAAGTTAATATGTAATAGCAATATATACTTACCAAAATACCAAGCTTAAATTGTGTTAAAGAGATTTTCCTTTTATTTGTCTCATTACTGTAGCTAAATTTCGAATGGTTGCAGAAAAATATTTATATTTTAATTGCATACTTAATCACCTTTGGGATGCAAATAACTCATGCAGGAGCTGGACAGCGACTCTTGCACCTATGGAGGTGCTTTTTTCCACATGATAAAATGGGACTTCTATGTATTATGTAAGAATCTACTTCTTTCTTCCAGCTGCCCACTGGAGCAATTCCTGTTAATCTCAGGCACAGCTGTGTAGTAATCCAGCAGCAGCATTGGAATTCATAGGTTCTTTTGTTATTTTGGTCAAAATTAACCAAATCAAAATCAATCAAATTTAAACTTACCAAGTATTTTAATGACTTTACCATTCTGATTAAATTGGATATATTCCAAGGGATACCGGCCTTTCTGTGAAACCAGAATAATTTAAGTGGCTTTTTACAATATCCTTGCAGCTGTATAAGAAAATATGAAAAAAAAAATCTGTGAGTAAGGTTCAGGATCAGAAAAGCTATGGAAGAAACTAGTTGAAGCATTTTGGAATGGAAGAACAGAAAACTCAGTGCACAGCAGCAAATACTCCCGTAGATACAAGCAAAATGTGAAAAAGTAGAAGATAAATTTACTGTAGTTGCACTAGGAGCTTTCAAAAGGCATGTGAATGAAAAGGAAGTCACAAAAAA